CAATTTTGTCGATGGCGAATGTTTGAGAAAGAATGTCTTTGCAAGAGTTCAAGAAATGACATATTGGAGAAAATCAGGTAATCTTATATTACAATAAAACCTAATGATCGAGTTTATGATCCTGATGATTCTTAAAAGTAGATATCAATGACAATTATTAGCTAGAAAAATGTGAATGAGATTGATTGATCTATTCAGAAGAGACAGACAATAAACTGTAACTGTGGAAAAATATTTTCTTAGTCTAGAAGATTTGCAACGACTTGCTTGTTGAAATAAAACGCAAACTAAATTGATAATTGTCCCAAAATCAAAAAAAAAAAGAAACAGTTCTCCAGAAGAAAAAGTGAAGAATACAACGAATTCCTAGACAATAGAATGTATGGCTTTGTAGATGAACCGAAAACTCACATCTTATTGTATATATTTCTGTTTAAATTAAATTTTACAAGAAAAAAATTTTTTATTTTGTATCGTCACATGTATGCAAAGTTTACTGTGTCAACAACAAAAAAAATATTTGAAATAAAGTTAAATAAGTTAGAACACAAAATTTAAATCACGAAAGTAGATTGTGAGAAAAAAAGTTTTGAAGCTAATCGTCTCTCCTATTTTCAGTAATGAAAATAGAACAGGATTCAACATCATACTATTCATTGAAACAACGACTTCTTCCATAAACAGATATTAGTAATTTTGAAAAAATGAATAAATATAGATAGGCATATTAAAAAAAATAATTAGCTAAGATATAGTTAATCATTTTTGTAAAGTTGTGATGTTATATGTGATTATCAAACGATGTTCGATGGAATATTTTGCAAAGCGATCAATTTACATTTTGTAAACATTTACCAATAATCCAGAAATAAATTTTAAAAAAGTTAAATAAATTTCAAATAAAATCTAATGCTTTTCATTAAAAAGATTATCAGAAATTTATAATCTAAAATAATTTTACAGGATAATACCGCGCTTGTCAGGCATCGAACTGAACTCGAACCTGTGGAAGTTGGTTTGATTCCTTTCCCTGATAGTTATCGTTAAAAACTGTCAATGATGAATTGGTTTTTACATTAAAATATTCAATTTTTTTCTTTATTATGAAATTTTTTTTTGTATTGATAATAAAATAATAAAAAGTACGAATAATAAATCAAGAAAAAAGAATTATTATTTGAATAAAAAGAAACAATGGTGTAGTGCGAGACTTTTTGAACTTATCATTTTCAATGGATTTTCAGAAAACAGTTCAATAGGATGAAGTATCGTAGCTGCTTTTACATATAATCTACTAAACCAAAACGATTCAAAGATTGTAGATATGGTTAAACAGAATATCAACATCTATACTCACATTCTTCTTGTTATTATTAAAAGTACTGGTTATAAATGCAAGGTTTAATCCAGATTTGTGCAACTTTCTCTTAAACTCTAACGACATGGTTTAAAAAAGTTTTCGTTAAAACTTCAATGGCTAAAATATGTTTAATGGATACATGTAATCGACTTATTTACTAGTTAAATCAAAGATTGAAATCATAATAAAACATACGATATGAAATATAAATCAATAAGTCAAACAGAAATTAGAGCACAAAATAAATGACAATCTATTCTGATTGATTTAGAAAATTTAGATATGATTGTTATAATAAAGACCGATTCTAGTAAAAAGAAAAAAAGTAAATAAATTAATTCTTGTTGTTATGTTTCCATTTCATGAATTGATATTTTTAGTCTTTATTGAAGGTGTGGGTATGGATGACAGAGAGAGAGTATATGATTCATCAACATATCCAAACAACATCTACATCCACACCGTATTTTGAATGTGTTCAAGTAAATCAGCATATAATTTTTCTGGATTCGATTCATGTGTGAATGCTTGTTCATATGGACGTCAATGTTCAATATTCGTTAACTAAAATAAATAAAATAGAGTTTTTATTTTTTGTTGATACAATTGATATTTGCATGTTTTCTTTTAATATACCTGCAGATATTATTTTCGATCAGCAATAAGAAATAAACGATTGTCTGATTCTTCAAAACGAGCACTGAAACGTGATAACATCAATAAATACCTAAAAAAGTAAAAGATATACTGTATTATCTGTGAAAATTCATTTTGACATTTCATGGCGAAATTTATTGATTTTGTATTGATCGTCATTTCTTCGAATTGCAATAAAGAGTTTTTGTTTTTCATTAATGTTTTACTATTTATCTTTTCCAAATAAATTTTAATCGTATGTGTAAGTCTTAATAATTTTTATAAAGAAAACTAGGAAGAATATTTAACCATAGGCAGAATTTTACTCATAAGAGGGTGTGGGTGTGGGTATCATTATAGGTCTTGTCTTCACCCACACCCACACCCTGTGATAGACATGCACTTAACATGAGACAAGTTAACCCCCATATAGCCATACATAGTGATTTTCTTTGTGTAATATTTGTCATTGATAATAAAGTCTATTCATTAATTTTAGCTGAATAACGTGCATTAATTAAAGCACGAAAAAAAAAACTAATGTGTGCAAGTAATAATGATAAAGGACGTAATAAAAGTAAAGCTTCATATGCTAATGTTGATGATTGTTTTGTACGTGCATATAATTCTTCAACAAGTTCAATAAGAATATTATCTGATGATGATATTATTGATGAACTATCAATTGTTGTTTGTTCTTTATTAATATGTTCATTATTTAATGAATTTTGTATTTTTTTTTTGGTCGTTGTATTAATGTATAAATACGTGAAAGTATTAACACCATATATCATTTTTTGGATATTGACCAACTATTAAAAGTTTTTCAAGACTAATTGATATAATTTTTTGTGTTAAATTATCATCTTTAATTAATGATATATAAAATATCATATGAATTTAAATCAACTTCATGACTTTCAAGTAAAAATAAACATGATGCATATGCATGAGTTTTAGTTATTAATTTATAATTACGTTCAATTAAACGTAGATATAATTCATTATATTCTTTAGTTCTTTGTTCAAGTAATATACTAGATTTACATAAATTATAACTTATTAAGGATATTATTAAATCATCTTCATCAAACCATGTACAAATAAATCAGATAGATATATAATTGAACCTATTAATTTATATTACATATATTTCAATTAGAATTTGTAATGATAATGTTAAATCAAAACCATGATGAAAAAATAAGCAATCAAATAAACTCTAAATTATATATTTTTAAAGATGGATTCCAGAAAAGAAAATGTTCATACTCTAATTTTCTGATTGATAGAATATATTTGAAATTATTGATATAATCTTTTATCTCTATGAAATAAGATAGTTTGCATGTATTATATATCAAATCAAAGTCAGAGAAACACTAGATTTTCTGTTTGATGAAATGAATAATTTAGCAATGAATTTATCTTTCTTTTAACTTAGAGTTCTATTTGTCGATTATTAAAACATATGTGAGACTTACATTAATTGATAATGATAATGTATTATTACTTTGGATTGATGCTAATATAATATCATATGAAAATTGGCCATGGGATAATAAATCACGTGTACCTAACCGTTCAATATTTGTAAATAAATTATTTGAACTTGTATCTAATATTGATAAAAAAAGAACAGATAAAATCTAGTTTATTTTTCAATCTTGCTATCATTGTGTTGCATTTGTTTCTAAAGTTTCTGCTTTTTTTTTTAAAATTATTTGTTGTTTGTTTATTTTCATCATTAGATTGATTTGTGGTGAATTAATTGAAGCTAAAAATGAAGCCTATATTTCTTGAAATTGTATTCTTAATAATCAACCAACTCCAAAATTGTCTTTATATAAATATTGGTAAACAAAATAATAATATAGCTATACAATGTAAATCATGTCAATAAATATATGATATATACGTGTATATTTAATTTTTCTTGTTAAATAATAAAGATGATCTTTTATCTGGTTCAATTAAATTAAAATATGATTATAATATATTTAATATAGTTAAACCATGTCGTTGATAAAGATATTCAAATATTGATAAGTGTTTTCGATAACGTACAATATGATATTATTTGATCTATTTCACAACTAATAAATGATGTTTTTTTTTTGAAATATATTTATATAAATTATTTCTGATATAAATATTATTAAACGTAATAAATCACGTATATCACCTGTTGAAAATTGACATGTTAATTCAACATGATTTTGTATTTTATCAAAATATATTGATATAGAATCTATGAATGCAATTGAATATGGTTGATTATTAGAAGCATGATAAAAGACTTTTTTCATAAATTGTATTAGGTGTTGTTTCAATGTCATTTTAATTTGTTTCATTTGATATAACTACACAAAATCCTAGGAAAACAAACAAAGAACAGATTTATATTGTTTCTTATTTTCCCAAATCAATTTTCATTTACTATAAGAATCATCCTAAAAATTTAATGCTGTGGAAAAAATCCAATACGTTTTCGGAGTTCACGAGTTCAAACTTATAGAAAGTTTATCGAAATTCTCGAATGCAATTTATTTCAAAATATAATATTAGAAAGACGTCATTTTCTTTAATTGTAATAGTACAAATAGCACGACTGAGAATTTGATCAATAAGATTCGAGAGAAATTATTCGGTCATTGTACTAATGTAGCTTAAATGCTTTCCTTTACGATTTGTATTACCTGAAATTCTGCATATTTTCTATTTCAAAATATTTTTCGAAATTTTGAATTATTCAAAAGTCTCATCTATTACTAGCACATTAACAATGTCAAAGTAAAAACAAAAAAATTTCTTTTAATTGGATTAAAATTTTTATTATACATATATATTTTTATTTCGATAAATTAAACTAAAATATACCGGTGATATCATAAATGGTAATCATTTTTTATAAGTTACATTTTTAAGCATTTGTGCATAAATTTTTCTTGTTATATTCGTATGACAATTAAGATTATTAAAATCTTCTTTAAGAATATCGATTGATATTGTTATTGATAATATTTATAAAATTTATGCTATATATTTAGGTCATAATTATTTATTTAATGGTAATGGAAGAAATTGTTCAATTAATAAAACTAATACAAGACCATTTTCATATAAATGTATTCCTTTAGAAACGAATAAATGACTTGCAACTGATGTATGATGTATAAGACCAAATAAATTATGTACAAATATCACGTTGTTCAAATAAAAAGAATAATTGATGATGTGTTATTATTGATGTTCGATATTTAACATATAATTCATGATGACATATTAAATCACAATAAGATTGTAATTTACTACTTATAGATAAATGTGTTATTAATGATGATGGTGTTAATATTGGTGACCACCATGCTTCTTGTATATAATCAAGTATATTCAGAATATGTATCCATTGTAATAATAATGAGATATAAAATGATGATCATAATAATTTAAAACATTCATTTAAAATAGTTAAATATGAAAATGTCTCAAGACAATGTACAGTTTCATCATGAATTCATAATTGATGAAAATCATTTACAATTGTTCGAAATTGTTTAACTAAAATAAAATCATAGATCTTATATAAGCATAGGAATTTTAAAGTCAAATGTATTTCGCTAGCTCATTAGTAATTAATGAATTGCAGGAAAATTTTATCTTCAAATTAATGGGTGATATGTACATAAAGATAATCGGATGCAAGAGAAACTAATGTCATATTGATTTGACCACATAGTTGTCGAGTATTAGTTAAAATTCATAATATTATATCATGTAAAACACGAAGAAAAGCTCTGAAAACAAAAACGAGAATAATAGTTTTTAAATTATAAATAAAATCATTTCGAATACTTACGCACTAAAAGTTTCATCTCGTGTTCCATTAACTCTAATAAAACATCATTCTATCGTGTTAATATAGTATATTCAGTTAAATTTTGTACAAGACATCGAAGTATTATATTTATATTGATTAGTTATCGATTTGTAGATTGACAATTGACATTCTAAAAAAAATTTTGAACTACAGGAAAATTTTATAAATAAAAACTACGAATATTTCTATTTACTAATGCTCGAAAAGCAATAACAAATGGATCAATTGATCGTAATTCAACTGATGATACAACATCAAATAGTGTTAATTGTGTGGAATAAATATCCAAAAGTGATTGATCCTATTTGAACAAAAAAATAACCTGAGATAAACCAATAGTAACATGTGATTGTAAATGAACAAGAAGTACATCGACAATTTATCGTGAAAGACGTTTCCATTTATCATCTTCAATTTGAACACTATTAACAATGACTATGAACAATCGTAAAGCCTATAACAATATAAATTCTATTATTATTTTTTCAGTACATACACATGACATGAAAAGATACTTTTATTTATAATAATTAAGACGCCTAGTTTTCCTTCAAACTCAAATACATAACAACTAGATGATTATTTTCAGATCATCAATTCGTTGAAGTGTGGGTGTGGGTTCAATCGAGGAGAAAAATTACATCTGCACATCCACACTCACACCCTCTCGAGTTTCTAAGATATTGAAGACTTTATAGAAGGACACTTTTTGTTCACTCTCATTTAATAAAACTTTTTAGGAATGTTAATTATTCGCATAACTCGAACAAGAAAAAAAATCATATAAAACTGGTTCTAATGCTGTCAAAGCTAAATAAAAAATTCTAACGATAATTTATTTTTCTCGAAAATGTTTTTGTTTTGCTTCCTACCATGTATTTCAGGCTCATGTCCACTTGCTAATAATGAATCATAATGTTTTATTAAATCTTGTATTTTAATAACTCGTTTTGAATGAAGTGTATCATGTGATAACATAACAAGAAATTCAGCAATACAATATATAAAATGTTATTTAAAAATGAACGAAACGATTAGAAATGCAACGAATTTCATCAGCTTCTAATTAACTATTATTAAAACGAATTAAAAGTAATTGAACAAGTAAATCGAGTACAGCAGCTTGCAAATCACTTTCATTTGTATTAATATATTTTTTAAGACTAATTTTTTAGTTCAATGCAAACTAAAATAGAAAACAAAAAAACAGACAGAATAAATCAAATTCGTTTTTTTTTGTTTATTTTACTGTCGTATTGCAGTATTTTCTATGAATTGCTCACTATTTATAGTTGATGCATAACGTGAACCAAATAAAATAAATTATCGATTGTCGAATACTTATTGTATGAATATAAGTTAAAGAGTTATTTAATGATACTTGTGAAGAAACATTTGAAGATTTAATAAAAACTAAATTAAAAGAATATTTTTAAATGAATGTTGTGTTTACAGAAAAAATGATTTTCAAATTTCGAATTGATAGCGTGTCTTGCAGATCGCTCACGTAAACTAAATGATTTAATATTCGGATTTAAAGATAGAACCAAATCAAAAGATCTGTCACTTTCACAACAAAACTACTCTCGTTAAGATCATCAATATTCGCAAAATCAGTTTTTCTGTTACTATGACATCTTATATTGAAATTTTCCTTCTCTATGAAAGACCCTTTCAGAAACCTTAATTATAAGATTTCCATCTAAAGTTTTATCCATAGACAAGTTTCAGACACAATACAACATCCTAAAGGTTTTAGCTTAAACGATAAATATTTACTATTTAAAAGAAGTTACCTTTTGTGTACATTGAATGTTGATTTAAAATAATTAAGTGTTTCTCTTCCAAATTTTTTTGATAAATCTTGTGTAGAAATAAGACTTAAAACTGATTTCATAGACAATAATGATCATTTCTGATGAATTTAATAAACTTTTATGTATTTGATAAGATGAACGTATTAATTCGAATAATTTCCAAAAGTACCTAATTGTGTATGATTAACTTCTTTTATCTTTGTATGTGTTTGATGTTGTTGATGAATCTTTATTATTCTCTTCAAAAAAAAAACAAATGAATTAGTTCAGACGAAACATGATTACATATATTCTTCAAATCTAACACTTTGGAACTCCTTTCTTCTGTGAAAACTGAAATATCAACTATATTCTGTTCAAAAGAATGATGATAAAATAGTTCAATTTTTCGAATTACTTGAATCATTTACGCTACTTTCAAAACATTTTTTCATTTGTTGAGATTTGATAAATCTTCAAATAAAAAGAAAGAATTTTAAAAAAAACATAATAAATATCTTTTTTTTCTCTTTACTTGAAAAGATTAAATTATTAAGATCATGTCATATAAAGGGATGTTTAAAAAAAATTATAAATAAACGAAGTTCATCATATTGATTATGAAAAAATTGGTCGAATTGTTGTTGGTCTTAAAACATTTGAAAGAACATAAATATCTTTTAAACATTCAACCTATATAAAAGACAAAAATAACAAACAATTTGTATTCGAGTTGATGCTTGAGCTTGTAATAAATGATGAATTTTATATATCCATTGACATGGTAAAAATTAATTGTGATCAACAAACCTTAAAATCAAAAAGTAGCTAATAACTAACTTAATTCAATAAAATCGACTTATGCATTCAAATTCGAAAAAAAGCTACCTAGTTAATATCTCTACAAAATGCATACTTAGCAAAAGTCGAAGCAATTGCTTGACGAACACGTATATCAGGGTACTGTTGTTTTAATTGTTGTTCAAGATAAGTTAATGTTCGAAAATCAATATCATCTTTAAGTTGAGCTAGAGCAAACTATTTTATATACATACAAAAAAATATTATTATAATCATAAATTTCTTTTATCTACTTTAGCAAGAATACAGGAACTTGTAGTATGTTGAATAGAATCTTCTAATAATTCAATTTCTATGATTGTAAATGCATGACTATTAAAGGTAATAATGTTCGTAAAGCATTTAGTGAAACATGTATAACACGAGCATTATTATCATTAAGACATAACCTTGAACTGTCTTGTGAATCAGTTGATACAAGTGAACGTTGATTAATAATAGAACTATGAAATGAATTTGATAAGAATGAGTGTTAAAAGATAAATTGTTGTTTGAATTAATGTAACAAGTAAGTTTGCACATGCACCACGTAAATGTAGATCACCGTATTCACATAAAGATAAAAGATATGTAACATCTTAAAGAAAAGAAAAAAAAATGCCTTGATGTTCGATAAATTTTAATGTATTACAAGTCATATAGAGATGTGAATTTCATTTTTTCCTTTAGAGAATTCAATTTTAATTATAAAATTTTTATTTAATCAGAAATCTTCAAAGACTAAAGAAAAACTTCTTAGAGGATACAATTGATTTCATATCCCGTACGTCAGTTTAGAACTATTTTTTGAGGTAATTGTGTGATTGTATAATTTGAATCTCTAATGTATAAATGCAGGCTTTGAGCTTCAATAAAGTGTTCTACTTGATATCTTTTCAAGTCTGATAATGTTCTAGTCTTTTGTTGATTCCAAAAAAATTAAAAGTAGGAATACGTCTAGAGCTGCTGAATCAATATTGAGAAATCTCCTTTCTTGAATTTTCAGATTCCACTATATATATATGTTTCAACAATTTAATAGTGAAATTGTCATATCTATCAGATAACTTTCACTAAAACTTTGAGACCTTAACCAATTGAAGCCACGTCAACTAAACTCTGCCACAATCCCCTTCATCTAGGCCCTCCTACTGTTACGACATTAGAAATAATTTTGGATTATAAAAAAATCTATTTCACTGAACTGAAACTTTACAAAAAAAAGTCAAACAAGAATTAAACATACTTTCAGTAAGATAAACAAATGAATCAAATTGTTGATAAATACGATAGACATATTGGTATAGCACATTTAACATTAATACATGATTCATCATCACTTTTTATCGTACCATCCATATTGAATATATATCTAATCGGAAAAAAAATATAATTGATTAACAAGTTTAGCAGCTGATATTCATTTTTCATTATTAGTCATTGATGTTGAATCGAATTCATCATTCATTTCAATAAATCAACGTTGATATGTTGAATAGGCTATTGTTTTAGAAAAAAAAACACAAATAAAAAAAATTCCTTTTTTTTCTCAATATTTACCTGTTTTTAAGGCTTCACTAACACGAATTTCTTCTATAGATCCAATTTGGGTTGAAATTAATAATTGATCAAAATCAAATAAATTTGAATAACGAAGTAATTGAATAATTTTTTTTATTAAATCAAGATAATCAATTATTAAACGTGTACTAGCATTTTGATTTTGATGTTCAAGTAATTGATCTATTAATATAAAAGACAATTATAATGAATTGAAATTATTATTTGAAAGAAAATCTATCAATTACATTTGTCATTAGAAAACGTGCCATAACCATGGGATAACATATTTGCCGAATAGGGCATGAGATGTTCCTAAGAATAATTTAGTCATTGATTATATATTTCAAAAGAAAATTATTTATTGTTAATATTAGGAAAAGAAAAATTCATTCTCACTCGACTTCATACTTTAACTATCACGATAGCCAGTGAACTCCTATGACTAAACCATTCTGAAGTTGCATGAAACTCTACGCTCGATTACTTTCGATGGCAGATCGCTTCAAATGATAGACAGTTTCTCAGTTCGTATTTCGTCAAATAGTATCAGACTGCCTATTCTACATTTTCTGAGAAACATTCTCTCCTGCTAGAAATTTTAACCGAAACATGGTAGAGCAATCTTTCTCTATGTTTCTATTCAATTGCATGACATTTTTCTGATTACTTCTTTAAAAGACTTGTCTTAGATGACAAAGATTTTTGTTTTACTCACTTTAATTTCCTTATCATTAATCGGTCGACCAAGACTACGAAAAATAAGTTTATAATATTCTGATAAAATGGTTGAATCTTTTTCGGATGTATTACATTTGCTAATTCAGCAAATCACCACAGAACACCTAATCGAAATTAAAAAAAAATCCTTATTATAAAAATAACCTTTTAAAGCATTTGGTCCAACATTAGGATTATGTTTTATAATTCGATATAATTCAACTCGAATTCTTGTTAAAACTGCTTCTTTTAAATTCTATTTTATAATTCATACAAAATTATACAAAAAAAAATAGAATTTCTTTTATAATACTTGAACAAATTTATTAAGACTTTCTTCAGCAGTCAATCGTACATTATAATCATTCTCGTCACATTTTGTAAATAATGTTTCCACGCTAGCTTTAATTAATTTAAAATAATTTTCATTGTTACCTCTAGATAAGAAAAACATTCTATAAGAGATACAAATAAAATGAAAAACAGAAAAAGATCCAATTATTTACTTGATTATTAATGTTTCTGATGCTGTTGTTGAAAGTAATTTTAAAAATTCAAGTGATTTATTTAGTTTATCCATGTTGTTTAATTTATATTCAATTCATTTATTTTAAACACCACATTATTTGATAATCATAACGAATGAATGAATAGTCGACTGAAAAAGCCTAACATCGATTGAATATTCATAAACACCATTGACATTTCCGTTTCTTTTCATTAATAGATGGCACTACATTACGTCTTTCTAAAAACAAGACTGTATAAAGTGAAAACTTTTTCATCAACCGATATTCTTATAACTAAAATATACTTTCTACTACACGTTCAACAGGAATATGTTTTGATCTTGTAAATACTAAAAGTGAGTCTAAAGCTAGTATTATGCGCTGGTGTGGGTGTGGATCAAAGTACTTTATTTATTGACATCCTTCCATCTAGAGTCACACTCTTTGCCACAGCCATCGTCATGCTACTCACCCACAGCCCACACTCACCACATAATATCTACTGACTGTGTGGGAAAAAACTTTTATGACTCCAACAACAATGGAAACAACATGAATAAATTCTTTTTATCATATTTCGTTTTCTTTGCTTTGAATGACAATAATGCATTTTATTTTCATTTTGTTATTTCTTGCTTGCTTGACGCACAGAAACTTCGTAAAAACTCTTGAAACAGAGAAAAGATAAGAAGTCTGTCATGCAATAAACGAAACGCGCTCACTCTTAAAACAAGTGGCTATAAAAATCGCTAACAAAAGGAAGAAACAAGCAACGATATCTATATATATATAGAGAGAGAAAGTGGGATGAAGTATATTTGTCTTCGTATCGTTATCGTCAACTAGCTTCTACATTTTTATTCACTTATTTTTGCTCGTTAATAAAGAATACAATTATCATCGAAATGGAGAAAAAGAAATCAACATCAAGTGCTAGTGGCTCTTCTTCGTCGCTTTCATCATCAGCCACGCCGAGTAAACCGAAAAACTCCTTATTGGTACCATCATCAACAAGTTCTGCTGCTGCCGTCGGTAAGAGTGAAACAACAAAAAACATAGAGAGAAATACCGTGCTAACCCACCCCGTACGCCGGATTGTTCAAAATTTCCTTTTGGTATGGCTCGATGCCAATTTTGATGAATCAGGCAGTGATTTTAACAATTCGTTGCAATATCTTCGAAAAATTGTGGCATCTATCACAACGTTTACGGATGCCCAACAATGCGTCAATTTCCTAAGTGAAATCAAAAAAGAAAAGGTATTTATGATCGTATCCGGTTACTTGGGTCGTCAAATAGTACCAGAGATCGAAGCATTGCCACAACTGGAAGCAATTTATGTGTTTTGTGGCAACCAATCGGTTCATGAACAATGGGCTAAAAAAATAAGCAAGGTTAAGGGTGTATATACTAAAATAGAACCAATTTGTCAAGCACTTGAAATCGATCGACAACGATGTGATCAAGCTATGATCCCGATCAGCTTTAATGGTCGCGATGCATTATTTATGTATACACAACTTTTAAAAGAAGCGCTTTTGGAAATTGAAGATGACGATGTCAAATCGATTAAAGATCTCGTAGAATACTGTCGTCTGCAAAATGATATTGATAAAGGTCAAATTAGGAAGGTCGAAAATGAATATCGTGATCATACACCAATATGGTGGTATACAGCGGAGACATTTATTTATCCAATGCTCAATCGTGGACTCCGACAAATGGATGTTGACATCATCCTTAAAATGGGCTTTTTCATCCGCCATTTACATCAACATATTAAAGAATTACATTGTGAACAACAAGGGAACATGCCAACAAATTTTCAAGTCTTCCGTGGACAAGGTTTGTCCATGGAAGATTTTGAAAAAATGAAAAAAACCAAAGGGGGACTTATGTCCTTTAATAATTTCTTATCAACAAGTCGCAATCGTGAGATATCTTTCAAAAACTTCGCACGACCAGCAGCATTAAATACAAATTCAGTTGGCATCCTTTTCATTATGAATATTGACACGGCTATTTGCACAAAATCATCGACACCATTTGCTGCAGTAAGCAAAGTTGGCTACTACAAAGATAAAGAGGAAGAAATACTATTTTCAACACATGCGATTTTTCGTATCGATCGCATTGAACGAATTCACGATAATCACTCTGATAGGCTATACGAAGTTAATCTCACTATTGTGGGTAATGACAATCATGAATTGAACACACTTACTGCACATATACGTGAGGACCTTGGTGACCGCACAGGATGGTCTCGACTTGGTGACATACTTATTAAAGTGGGCGAACCTGCAAAAGCAGAACAACTTTATCAAATTCTCCTCGCAAAGGCGTCTTCTGATCAAGATCGAGCAGAATACAATCATCAACTTGGCTGGGTATATGATGACATGGGAGAGTATTCAACAGCACTTTTATATTACGCAAAATCACTGGATATCTACAAGAAAATTCTCTCTCCAAATGATCTCAGCTTGGCTTCTTCCTACAACAACATCGGTACTGTATATGCCAAAATGGGCGAGTACTCGAAAGCACTTTCATCGTATCAACGATCACTTGAAATCCGTAAAATAGCTCTCCCTCCGAATCATCCCGACTTGGCTCTATCGTACAACAACATCGGCCTGGTGTATGATAACATGGGCGAGTACTCAAAAGCACTTTTATCGTATGAACGATCACTTGAAATCCAGAAAATAGCTCTCCCTCCGAATCATCCCGACTTGGC